AGGTCCTTGCTCCACTGGGAGAAAGCTTGGATGTTCAGGTTCCCATGTCCCCGGAGAAACAGAGGGAAGACACAGGGGGTGACACGGGCATGAGCCATAAGGAAACCTCGTAGACACCTTCATACTACACACTTGGCCAGGTGAGGCCCTAACCCCGTGGAAAGGTACACAGGTGGAGGTAGTTTCCCAGAGCCTGCTTCTATCTGCACAGGAAGTAGGAGGGGCCCGTGACTTCTGAAGTCCCTGGAGTCATCCAGAAGGTGGTGAAGTCACCTTGCAACCTCCGCTCCAGTTTGAGGGGCTCCTAACTATTCTCACATACTGACTCAAAAGCCGAAGTCTGCTGTCTGCTGGGTGAGCAACAGCTGTATGGTGTCCAGTCACATTCCTTTATGGTGGGTGAAGTCAGGGCAGCCCTTGGGATCCTCTACCCAGACTGTGCAGAAAGATGCTTAGAGCTGTTATGAACCCAAGCACAGGGGAGAAATCCTGGAAGACTTCAAGGCCCCCTGTCTACCTTCTCGTGGTGGTGGTGGATGCAAGTCAGGAATATTCTTAGGATTGTGGCCCCACTGTGCTCTGGCCGCCACTAGAGGGCGCTGCCTCACAAGGTGTGCCAGTCTCACACCTGAGGTGGGAGCAGGGAAGGGGATGTGGAAACAGCGGCCCAGCTCTCTGGACCAGTGTCTAGGGGGCAGGGAGAAGAAAGTGGATGAGGAAAGGGAGGAGGAAGGAGATGGAACAGAAAAGTAAGAGGAGAGGCCTCGGGTAAGGAGGGCACTGAGCACAAGGAGTCGGGCATTCCCTCCCATCCTGTTCTGCCCCTTTTCCCCCTGTGACGTGTGGGTATCCTGGGCAATCATGGGCAGCAGGGCCCTCAGTGCTCACAGGGACCCTCACCTGACTGTCCATACAGCCTGGTCCCCAGCCCCCCTCAGAGTCCTCTCCTGATAGAACACTGTCAGGATGGCCCTCACACTCCATGTCCTCAGCGCTGCAGAGTGGCAGCTCTCCCTGGGGGAGCAGGACCTGGGCCCAGCACAGAGCCTGGCCAGGGAGCAAGCAGGTCATTAGTTGCCTGTTCTCTTCTGTCAAGGCTTCAGTGAGGCTGGTTCTGCCACATCAAGTGCCCACTGTGCATGTGGCTTGGGTCTCAGGCTGGTGTCCAGTTGAGTGGCTCAGGCCTAGGGGCTGCTAGGTAGCCAGCTCCCTCCTGGAAGTGAGCACACATGGGATAGGGGGTGCGGAGCCACAGGGCCTGGGGCAGTTCCCTCCTGCTCACAATGCTATCCCACTACATCTGTTCCTCCTACCTTTTGGCCCAAGCCAGTGTTTAATACCTGAGCAAAGGTGATAACCTCCATCCCTGCCCCATTGTGGCTACAAGTTCCTCCTGAGTTGTCATGACGAGGGGATCAGAGGATGCTGCCACAGAGCTCACTGGGCCCAGATGTGGATCCTGGCACATGACGGGTGTGGAATTCCTGTCGCCTACCACAGAGGCCCATTACATACATGGGAATGTTGGAGCACAGAGTGATCGAGAGACTGTCCAAAGCCACACAGCACATGGAAATGGGTCCTTTTGTGCATGGGGAATATACTGGCCTGCCTCTCCACGTTCTGACAGTGGCCACAAAGGACCTTGGGGCACCAGAGACCTCCAAAGACTGGGAGCTCCCATCTCCCTCCACAGTAGTCCATTGGTACCATCCAGCCTCGTCTACCTGTTCCTAGAAAGAGATGCCCATTTGGAATGAGCAGGGCAAGCTCATGGGGGCTGGGCTAAAGCTTCCAGGACAGCAGAGGAGCAGATTAGTAGGGGGGAGCCTTCTCCCGGAGCCACTAAAGTGCCTGGACTGAGACAGGAGGCCCTCTACCTCTCCATCACCTTAAACGGTCATCTTCCTGCCCGAGTAAAAGCCATGTTCTCTCAGGGCACAGATATGAAGACTGGGACCACAGTCCTGCAGCTGGGAGGCAGGGGCAGTTCCAGGCACTAGGACACTCAGACCTTAGTGGTCAGTGCACGGAACTGCATTCCTGCACGTCCGGCTGCCCTGTGCCCACTGAAGCCTCAGAACATCGCTCCACTGTGGACACGCAATGCAGGCTCACCTGCTCCCCCCGAGCCCTCCCTATGCACAGACCTCGCCTGCTAAGTACATGCTGTCCTGTAGAGGACAGGACAGAATACCATTGTGGCACTTGAAATGCTACCCTTGTCCCTGGAGAAACCTCTCATGCCCCATGCCACCTATCTATCATGTGGTCACATGTGCAATATTGTAACCACACTAGAGGGGTCATGAGAGCTCCTAAAAGGTACTGGTTAGGACAATGCACCTTGGAAGAAGGATGCACCCACTCACCAGCACCCAGAGGAGCCCCCTCAGATGTCACTAGTGGGCTCCATGTCCCAGACAGTCAGATATGGGACATGCACGCTTTGAGGAAGGGATGATGGGACAAGGCTCAACAGAGCAGGTTGCCCAGGTCATGGCACCATCTAGCAAGGCAGAGGGCCAGCTGAGCCCCAACTCAGGACAGTCATCAGGTCCATGATTAGGGGAACTGACTGTCCTAATTTTAGCAATCGAAATTTCAAGTCCTGGAAAAGCACAGTTGCTTCACCACCCTACGCTATGGTTCTGTGGGTTCAGGGGGACAAAGGGCGATGACTGTGTGGCTCAGCACAGACGCCAGCTGGGGGATGGGGGGTGGGTTGGGCAGGTACCTGCGCGAAGCACATGCTGAGCGGCCGCTCTGCATTCCTTCATTCAACCTTGAGAACAGCCTGAAGCCCATCTTTGTGTGATCCTCATTTTATAATCAGCGATGAAGAGGCACAAAGAGGGCACATTATGTATCCACACTAACAGAGCAACTAAGTAGTACAAGCCAGAAGGATGTGGCAGAAGTCCAGGAGGTAGGCTGGCTGCTGTGATATCACACACACACACACACACACACCCCTATGCATGCACATATACATGTGCACAGACAAGCACACAGATGCACAAATATGCACACAGCTGTGAACACAGGCATGTGCAAATACCTACACATGCACCAATTTACACACATGTACAATCGCACAGGAACTGGGTGATCAGAATGACCCTGGAACAAGCCCCCTATTACTTCCCATTTCCACAGTAATATTCTGCCTGCCATGTGGGCCAGTCTCTGGCCACACCGCCCTCGGTATCTTATTACACTTTGTACTGGAGGAAGGGGACACACACTATAAAATTATAGTCATAACTCCAACCTAGGGTGTGAAGTGGAATCGGCTGTCTCAGGGGATTCCTTTAATTTAGCTTTCAACTGTTCTTAGCACCTGGGACTTCCCCCTTGGGCTTTCTTAAGGCAGAATCTAGACCAGTGAAGAACTGGAGCTTGTCCTTAGGCTCTGGTGTAAGTGTGGACAGGTTGAAGGGCTGCAGCATTGCTGCCAGCGTGGGGGGTCTGCTAGACCCCAGAAGGTGAGGTCTGGACTCTGCAGTGGACCAGGGGACCTGTGCTCCCACAGCATGTCCTCCCCTCAGCTGCCCTGGTCATAACTGAGACCCAAGCTGCTAGGTCACGGTCAGAATGATAGCTTTCTTCTGGAACCATGTGAAACCCTGACCCTCCCCAGGCCTGCAGGACAGTGCTATGTGGTGACCTGGGCTAGCAATGTCCTCTCTCACATCCCTGAACTCAGCTGACCGCAGGACATGACCTTGACCAGGAAGACTCAGTGCAGTTGGGCTGGGGGTTCTGGATGGCTGTGGGAACACAGATGCCCAAATATGCACACAGCTGTGAGCACAGGCATGTGCAAATACCTACACGTGCACCAATTTACACACATGTACAATTGCATAGGAACTGGGTGATCAGAACGACCCTGGAACAAGTCCCTTGGTGCTCCTGCACCCAGGCAAGAGCTTCAGGCACCACATACCTGACCCAAGGGGGCTTTCAAGCTTCACCACAAGCATGATGGCTCCAGGATCCTGAGGCCCATGGGCCCAGACCACATCGCAAGACCCCAGAACCCAGGATCTGGGCCTGACTTCAGCAATGGCTGCATGACCCCACTGGGTAGCAGAACTGGAGCTCCCAGCCTGAAGGACAGCCTGCAGGTAATGGGTAACTGTCTTGGAAGCTGCTTGACTTGATTAGAACAACAAGCAGACTTGGCCCCTGAGGTGCCTAACATGAGCGGATTGCCCTAAAGTCTTTTTCTCGCCTGAGAAATTCTGGAAAGCAGACTGCCAGGGCAGAGAGTGTGCTTTGGAGTTGGAGCTCTGAGTACCAACCCAGCTGCCCTGGCAGCTGGGAGAGGCATGACAGTAGTCAGGGGAGGACTCAGACCAGGAACTAAATGTCCCAGAGGGTTTTGGCCAAGAGACTCCAGGTGGCTACTTGGACAGTGCTGGGGTTCCTGCACCATCTTCCCTGGGGCTGCGTCCAAGGCTTAAAGAAGCACCTTGTATATAGCTGTCATGCTGGGCTAACACAGTTCATGCTTGGTAACACTACTGAGACCATGTCCCTGGGGACATGGTCAGTCCCTCATGCTGTGAGTTGGCTTCTCTGAGCCTCAGTTACCTTGCCTGTGCTAAGGTTTCCCATTGCTTCCACTGTGTGGACACTTGGTGCCCATGACACATTGACAAGCTGGCAAACGCGACCCTGAGAGTGCACAGGGAACAGACTGCACATGCTGTCTTGTCTCCTCCATTCAGCATGGAGGGTCACAAGGGCAAGCACAAGGAGGTGCAATGAGGCCCCCAAACCAGTGGCACCTCCAGAAGCTCAGCTCTTCCTCCTTCCTCTCCCCAAGCCATCAGACCTGCCATCAAGGGCAGGAGACCCAGGATGACAGCATGCCCAGGAGGTACAGGTAGAATTCAGGTGTTAGAGTCTCCCTGGGGCAATTTAAGTTGGAGGACTGAGGTCCCAGGATGCTGAACTCTCTCTCCCCACCTCCCCCCTCTTCTACTTACCCCACGTGCCAATGTGGCTGGGGCCTCTTCCCATCGTCGCCTGTGCCACCGAGCCTGTTGAGGGACGGTGAGCGGCTGCGGGGCCCAGGGACATAGCTCGGGATGCTCTTCACAGCTCCATCAGGCTTGCTGGGCACCTGCTGCAGCAGCTGGGGTGAGAGGCTGCGGTGGGAGGTGGCTGCGGAGCAGACGGCCCATTCAGGTGCACCAGCATGGAGGTTGTTGTCACTGTTGGAGCGCAGCAGGACCCGGGGCGCTGCCAGTGTGTTTGGAGGCCGCCGCCTGCGGTTGGAGTAGGCCGGAGCCTCTCGGAAGGGCACTGGATGGAAGAGAATAGGGAGAAGTAGTGAGCACGACCAGAGGCAGACACAGGGGTCCCAGCCTGCATGCATCCATGCCCCCATGCGAGCCAGGTAGGGAGCCACAAGTTCACGCTGAATCTGCAGCCAGGCTGCCCAAGGTCTGGAATCCCCCCAACACGGAAGCAGAGAGTGGTAGAGGAGAAGCTGGTCATCTCCTTCACACAGATGCTCAAGGCAAAGCCCAGATGGAAGAGACTCAGGTCGAAGCTTCCATCTGCCCAGCTCCTTCCACAGCCTGGAAGATGCTGCCGGCTTTCCTTGTGTAAGGATGGGCCCCACCTCCCAAAGCAGTCAGGTCACCAACTCCTCCTCTGCCCCTGAACTTGGCCTGGAGCTGGCAGAATTATGTGTCCTGACATTCCATGCTGGGGACCAAGCCCAGGACCTCAGGGCATGCTTGCACTTGGAAAGAGGACTTGGCAGAGGGGATCAGGTTAAAGTGGGTCACTAGGGTGGGCCCCAAGCCCATCTGTGTCTTTGTGAAAAGAGGAGTGTGGGACACAGATGCACACACAGATGATCACATGAGGACACAGGGAGGCGATGCCATCTGCAAGCCAAGGAGAGTCAGAGGAGCCAGCCCTGCGACACCTGGATGTCAGATGTCAGCTCCCAGACATGGAACAGTGATTGACTGATCTTTACAAACCACTGGGCCCTGGGTGTTGTCACAGCATCCCTAGCAGTGAATGAAGTCCTAAATCTCCTGGTCAGAATGAGTCCACAGCCCCAGAGAATGCTCTCTGCCTCATTGGCCAAGCTGGGGCCCGGCCCTCACAGTGGTGCAAATGGACCAACGCATCCGGCTCTTCAGGAAGTGCTGTGTGGGGCCAGGCTCTCCTGCTCCCAAGTCCCCATGCCCAGCTCTCAGAGGACACATGCACTTGGGAGCTGTGTGTGTGATGCCCCTAAGTGGACTGGCTGCACCTCTGAGATGAGTCCTTTCTGAAATTTCCTTCTAGGCTGCAGAAAAACAGAAGCTGCTACCAGCCCCCGATCAGCCAAATATGTTGGGTGACCTCTCATTCCTGGATGTCCATGTCTCTGGCTCAGGGTCTACGCCGCCCAAGTCCACATGAGGAACTGTGACGCAAGAGAGGCTATATGTCTCTCAGAAGAGTTTATGTGGGCAGGACCACAATATCTAGAAGGAGAAGCAGGTCACAAAAAGCTCAGCACAGAGTGCTGGGAAATCTCCTGACCCCCTGGATGCCCAAGGCTGGAAGTTACTCCGAGGCTCACCAAAGAAACCAAGAATGGATGCACGTGTCACCTGAATGACGGGTCTCACGGGAACGCTCGTGGTAGACTTAGGCGGTGATAGCAGAGCTCACAGAGATAGAGGGGCACTCGAGGAGATCAAGGGGGACAGAATTAGTGCTTGCAGACCTCTCTTGAGATAGCTGTGACCCAGCCTACCGCTGCCACCTCTCCAGGGTGCAGGGCAGTCCCAGGAAAACAGGTGGGACCCAACCTGGGGAAGCCACACAGAATGGCAGGAAGGGTCCTGGGGACACACAGATGTGGCATTCTGGTTCTGTGTCACCTGGGGAGGTCATCCTAGCCTCAGTTAGAGAACAGCGATCTTATTAACCTGCCCTCCCCAGAAAGCCCTCCGTCAGAGGGACAGGCACGCTGATGACCGACTCTGCAGCTGGGGCTTTATCCTATGTTCCATTTCTCCACGCAAGTGAATCCTTAGAGGCCGCCCAGGCCATCTAGGGGTACCAAGAGCGGGCCAGGCTGGCAGTGCCCTCCCTGGAGCCAACTAGCTACCCTGGCTAGGCCCAGGGCCAACATTAGCCTGCCCAAAAAAGCCGTATCCTAGGGTCAGGCCACTGAGCATTCATTTTGCTGGCCATGAAAGGAAACTATACTGGTTTCTCTCCATCTAAGCAGGCAAAGGCTAAAACCTTCATGGAATGAATGAAGCTCCAACAAACAGCCAGCAGTGAGAGCTTGTGGGGGCTTGTGGAGGCACTTGAAACAGCCAGACCCCAGGGACAGGGTTAAAAGAATCTCACAGAGGACTGGCGATCCTACAACCTAAGAGGCCAATCATTTGTCATTCCCTGAGATTAGGGGCTGAAGGACTCTACCCTCAGGGAAGCCGAAATCCCAAGCAGATATAAGAAGCACAAAGTGGTCCTAGAGGCCTTTGCCTTCAGGGAGCATGCCCAGGGGATCAGGGCTCTCAGCACAGGAGGGACACTACACAGCTCGGAGACTAAGACACCTGTGCTTAGCTTCTGGCCCCAGTAACAGTCAGCCCTGTTTCTGATCCATGTAATAGGTAAAGTGTTAATGGTTTTAACTGAAGAGAGACAGAAAATGAGGGGGGTACCAGGTGCTAAGATAAATTCCTTAGGAAAGAAAAATCCATGGGAAAACAGAACAAATCCAGAATTAACCTCACCCTGTAACACTGGACTGCAAATTTCACACTGTTCATGGATTATAAAAACTGAAGTCCCAGAAGGTGAATTTTGCCGCATGATGTTAGAAAATGAATTTAAGCGAAGGCTGTCTTTGTAGAAATTCCTAAGAAAGAGTCTCAAGAAGGAGGACGTGGAGATTGGTTGGGACTCACACCGGGAGGCCACCCGTGGAGGATTAAGGAATAAAATAGCTGGGACATTTTCACATACATGTTACCCTGAAGACCAGGCAAGCTATTCAAATGGAATCACATAGGTGGCATTAGGGTGAATGTTTTAATGAAAATTACCTTGCTTGATCACCAGGATTCACATTAAATTAGTTTCCAGAGCAGTAAAATTTCTTCAGAGTGTGTGTGTGTGTGTGTGTGTGTGTGTGTGTGTTTTCTTTTTTTTTTTTTTATGATGAGCTCGAGCTGGGGAGTATCTTTCTAATTTCTTTAAAGTAACCCCTCCAGAAACCTCCTGATTTCCTAAACAGGAAATCTCCTTGTCTGACAAAACTATCTGACTGGAATCATCCATGGAAATGATGCATGTTTTGGTGTGTGAAAAGGGTTAAAAATAACTCTTTTCCTGTCTGAAAATGATTAATATTCCACCCAACTGTTTCCTTCTTTCTGGCAATCTGCAAACTCTAGGTGGGTGGATATTTTCTTAGCTGTCTTACATGCACTTATTTATACATTTTTCCCCACAATAAAAACCACACAAGGTATGACAAAGAGCGTATGCACTTTTAAAGTCTGCCACATCGCCTCTCCATCCACCTCATGTAACTGCAACCCGGGGACAGCCAAGGAGAACCGAGAGGCGGCTTTGTGGGTGTCCATCTCCCAGCACCGCCAGCCATGTGCCCGACCTCCGGGAGTAAGAGCTTTGCAGCCCTTCGGGTGACCGACAGACTCGAGTCAAAGTTCTTTTATTTTTCCTAGGACTTAGTTCCTGAAGTGCCCTCCCTCCCAGTCACCATGGAAGGACATTTGGGAATGCAATTTTACAAGGGGCTGGCAGCTGAAAAACACAGTAGGATAAAAAGGTACACTCAGCCGTGCTAATTTCCTAGACCAAACAAGCCAAACCGTATCGCGAACCAGAAGTAATGAATTCCCTCTCGAGACACGGACTAAAGACAAGCAAATTTAGGGGGAACCGAGTCCCTCTCTCCTCCCAGAAGCAGTAAGGAGCTGTCCGTCCGTCCCCCACGCTCCCTATCGCTTTCTCCTTACCTTCCTTCTTGGTGAAGGCATTTAACAAAGACTTCATCTTCCCTCTGATTTTGGCAGCGGTCCGCTCATTATATAATCTTCTCGGAGGGGCGGAAGGCTAGGCGCACAGCCCGGCCCCTCGGTGCTGGAGTAGCTGGGATCCGGGGAGCAGCGGCGGGCGTCTGGGCACTGTGCGCTCCCGAGCATCGCTGGGCATGCCAGACCCGGCGTGCTGGTGACAGAGCCCACCCCATATTCTGTCAGCTGGGAACCAACTGTGCGTGGCTGGGGCAGCTCTCAGAGCTGGCTGCCTCTGGCAGCGTTTGTCATGTGAGCTGAGCGCCTCTGCTCCAGGAGCGGGGCATCGAGGAAGCGGCAGGGCGCAGGGCGAACTTGCAGGGAGTGACGGAGCTGGGAGCACCAGGAGGCGTGTGCGAGCTCGAGCCCCAGTTATCCAAGGAAACCTGGCTGGTGCCGGGCGCTCCGTGCGCTGTGGCTAAATATAATACACCGTGCTTTTCTATTTTTTTCTTTTAATTTTTTTTTTTTTTTTTAAGAAAAAGCCAAGTCTATTTGTCAGCTAGAAGATGTGGTGGCAAAGTCAGAGGGGAAAATGTCGAAGCGTGGAGAAGCCATGACCCAAACCCGTGGTAATGGGCCAGGCATGTGGCCGCAGAATCCTGAAAGTGACCTATATTCCACTTTGCAAGAATCAGACACAAGTACCCATTACTCCCCCCGCCCCATTGTGGTAATGACCATGGAAAAAACTGGACACCACCTACTCCTGCTTTCTTTTTAAAAGAGGATCAGAAAATCATCAAAAGGCAAGGTAGTCAAAGATGGGGCCCCCGATTCCACACAGCTGGTAAAATGAGCTCATCAGTCCCTCTCCACGTGTCTCCAGCACTCACCACCCCCCAGCGGAAGTCTCAGAGAAACCAGAAAAGATCATCCCTTGGAAAAGCCATGCGGGGAAAGTTCTAAGCACAAAGCCAACAGAGAGGGCGGGGATCAGGCTGGTGTGGCTCACTGCAGCAGATGGCCCAGGGAATCCTATTTGCCCGAGGACAAAAGTCTTTCTGAAGCACACGGAGTGTCCTGGGGGGCAAAGCTGCTGCCACCCCCTGCATCTGCCGCTGGGGCTGGGGCTAAAAGTACATTTTTTTCTGGTTGCTAAGAGAACTGCTTCTGAAATCGGGGGCGGGGGGGGGAGTGAGAGAAAGGGAGAAGGAAGAAGAAGGAGGAAGAAGGAGGAGGAAGAGGAGGAGGAGGAGAGGAGATGAAGAAAGTAATGGGACCACTGGGGTT